GAGGGGACCTCCAGCCCCGTCACCTCACGTCTCTCTTCGGCCTCTCCAAGGTGTTAGGGCACCCCTCTGCCTCCCCCCACCCACACTCTCCCGCACTGGGCAGCCCAGCCTGCAAACAGTACGGGCATTGGTCATAAATAGGAGAAGCGCCCGGTCATCGGAGCACTGTGACATCCCTGTCCCCGTCAGCTGGTGCCGGAGGCTTCATCCTCTTTAGGCTAATAGTCTCTCCCCTTCTTTTAATTCCACTCCTCCCACAGCAGGGAGGCTCAGGGAGGGAACAAGTTAGATCCGGGTAGCTCTTAAATCTCAGCCTCAGTTTGGGGGTTTGGTTACATTTGTTAGATAAGGCCAAGACGTAGAGAATCACTGGGAAAATACCTTCAGATCTCCGACCTGTTGGGTCCCCTTCAGCCGGGGAGTCTCTCTGCATTCCGGATTCCGTCCCTGGTCTTGCAGTGACTTGTACATTGTTAGGTTTTTTTGTACGTGTCGACTTGTAAATCTTATTAAATTGGGTTCTTGAGCAGCTGTCTTCTGGCTTCCCTGGCCCGTTGATCCAGCAGAGGCTTTTGAGCGCCTGCCCCTCGCTGGAACCACAGAGAGTAGGCCGAGTCCCTGCCCTGGAGGAGCTGGGGGCCATTCGTTCATTCAGCAAGTGCCTGCTGTTGGACGTGCTGGACGGTGCCCAATCCACGTGACTGGGACACAGTGACGACAGAGAGACAAAGCCCCTGTCCTCACGGAGCTTACATTTTGGGGCTGGGAAAGTAGCAGTAATAAATACAGCGAGAAGGTGATTTTAGACACTGATCGTGGGTATGCTTTTGGCCACAAGTAACAGAAGAGTCAGCGCAGGTTTAAGCAATCAGGACGTCTGGTGGGCAGCGGCTCAGCCAGGAAATCAAGGCCTCCCAGCAGCGGCCAGCCTCAGTGTGTTGGCTGCGGCAGCAGCAAGAATACCTCCTCCCTCACCAGCATCCGAACCTTGGGAGTGCAGGGAGGAGAGCACGTCCCTCCCTTCCTTGTGCCCCTCTTTAAGAATGAGGAAAGCCTGTAGCAGCCGCCAGCAGAAGGCCCCTCAGGTCTTACCAGCCAGAACCGTAGGCCATGCTGTTTCTAAACTGATCCCCAGCAGTGGGGAGGGAAATGGCCACAGCTACCCTAGACATTCAAGATTTGCCTCCACGGGGCTGGCCCAGTGGCATAGTGGTTAAGTTCGCATGCTCCGCTTCAGCAGCCTGGGGTTCACAGGTTCAGATCCCAGGCGCAGACCTATGCACCGCTCATCAAGCCATGCTGTGGCGGTGCCCCGTATACAAAGTAGAGGAAGATGGGCACAGATGTTAGCTCAGGGACCATCCTCCTCAAGCAAAAAGAGGAGGATTGGCAACGGATGTTAGCTCAGGACCAATCTTCCCCACCAAAAAAATAAATAAAAATAAAAAGAGGAACCCTGATGAAATAAAAAAAATTAAAAAAAAAGATTTGTCTTCAGGACTAGGAAAAAGCCATGTGCTCCCTCAAGTTTGATGCCGCCTGGTCAAAACTGTAATTCCGTTTGCCAGGAAGAGAAGAGGAGGCAGGAATGGCTCCTGGGGAGGCAGACCTTGTGACTGCCACAACGTGATGTGAAGAAAGTAAAGCAGGGTGCCGAGTCCCAGGGAGTGAGCAGAGAGTGGCAGCTGGTGTTAGGTGGACGGCCAGGGAAGGAGACCTGGGTTCCAGGCCACGGCACGGCACAGTGCCAACTCTGCCGAGGGGACTAGCAGAGGGTGTTAGAGAACTGGCTGGCTGCTGTGTGGAGGTTGTAGGAGGCAAGATTACTGGCCTGGAGGGTAGATAGAAGGCTTTAAGGTAAGGTGCTGGTGGCCTGGGGTAGCAGTGAAGAGGGACGGAAATGCGAGGATGAGAGATGCATCTTAGAAGCAGACTCGGACTTGTTGACGGGTCACACGTCACGGGGAGAGGTGGTAAGGAAAAGGACGGGTAGATTTGGGTCTGAGCTGCTGAGTAGATGCCATCACCTCAGGTGGGGAAGAGAGACAGTCAGAGGATTGGTTGCACCCAGGTGTGACCGCGTCTGTAATAGTGCGTGCCGTGTTCTGATGGACTGGCGGGGGAGCGGGGAGAGGGTAGTGTCAGGAGCTTTCACAGAGGGGCCACACTTAGCTCAGTAAATCTTGAAGATCGGGAGGGGGGAGGGGCAGGGGAGGAAGCAGAGTTTGAAGCAGTTGGGGCATTGCGGTTAAGAGAAAGGGCTCAGCCATCAGATGAACCAGAATTTACATTCTGGTGCCTCTTCCTTTGTGACCTTGGGCAAGTCACTTTCCCTGTTTGAGCCTCAGTTTTCTCATTCTGTAAAATGGGGTGGAAAATGCCCACCCCCCACGTATCTGTGGAATGAGAAAACGTAAATTACGTGTTTGGCAGGGTGCACCATATGAATGTAGCAGCTACTGTGTGATGAGCGCTCGTGCTATCGCTGTTATTGTTTAGGTCCCACCCTGCATAACAGGTTAAGCTTGATGACTCTGGAAAGGAAAGACTGGCTTAAAGGGTTAGGCGGTATATTAGTTTATTGCCGCATAAGAAATTACCCTGAAATTTAACAGCTTAAAACAAACGGAAGCTTTTATAATAGTGCTGCTTAGAGGGACACGGAACCGAAACCGCTTGTGGTAATCCAGACTCACCCCCAACCTGATCTGTGGCCAGAATACAGTGGCAACCACAAGTGGGTGGTCCAGGAGAGTCTCTGAATGTAAGAAGAGAGTTGGGGGAAGGTTTCTTGTGAATTAGCCCCCCTCAGCCCACCCCCGCCCCCATCCCCAGATACAGCATTTTCTCAACAGGTGTTCCCAGAATTATCTGCATCCTAATCATCTAGGGGTCCTGTTAAAAAAAGCTCATATACCATACCCAGTCCCTGACATGGACTATTATAATCAGAATCATTGAGGGTAGGGCCCTAGAACTGGAAGTTTTTTAAAGAAGCTTTCTTAGAATAGTTTTCAGATTTACAGAAAAATTGGGAAGATGATAGAATTCCCATATACCCCGCACCCAGTTTCCCCTACTATTAACATCTTACATTAGTATGGTACATTTGTTACAACTAATGAACCAATATTGATACATTATTATTAACTAAAGTCCATGTTTTATTAACATTTCCTTAGTTTTTACCTAATGCCCCTCTTCTGTTCCAGGATCCCACCTAGGACACCATATTACATTTGGTAGTGATGTCTCCTTAGGCTCCTCTTGGCTGTGACAGTTCCTCAGACTTTACCTGTTTTGGCTGACTTTTAAGGAGTCCTGGTTAGATATCTTGATGAATGTGTCTCGTGTGGGATTTGTCTGATATTTTTCCCACGATTAAGCTGGGAGGAAGACCGCAGAGGTGAAGTGCCCTTTTTGCCACATGTTGTTGAGGGTTCACACTATCAACGTGACTCACCACGCTGACATTATCCTCAGTCGAGGGCTGACAGTGTTCATCAGGTTTCTGCACTGTAAACTTGGTCCCCGCCCCCCTCCCTTCCCATACTGTACTGGGTGGAAGGAAATCACTGTGCACAGGCCACACTTAGCACACATGAAGAGCTATGCTCCACCTTTTTTGTGTGTGTGTGAGGAAGATCAGCCCTGAGCTAACATCCATGCCAATCCTCCTCTTTTTGCTGAGGAAGACCGGCCCTGAGCAACATCTATTGCCAATCCTCCTCCTTTTTCTCCCCAAGGCCCCAGTAGATAGTTGTACGTCATAGTTGCACATCCTTCTAGTTGCTGTATGTGGGACGCAGCCTCAGCATGGCCGGAGAAGCGGTGCGTCGGTGCGCGCCCGGGATCCGAACCCCCGGCCGCCAGTAGCGGAGCGCGCGCACTTAACCGCTAAGCCACGGGGCGGGGCAGGCCCAGCTCCACCTTCTTGAAGGTGTATTTACATAAACTATTTGGAATTCTTCTGCACAGAATATTTGTCTATTCTCCCTCATTTATTTATTCATTTATATCAGCATGGGCTCATGGGTATTTTATACACTGGGTTATAATCCCATACTACTTTATTTTGTTGGTCAAATTGTTCCAGCTTTGGCCATTGGGAGCTGTTTCAGTTGGCTCCTGTGTCTCTCTGACATACCTCGTCGTGTGTGTGTGTGTGTGTGTGTGTGTGTGTGTGAGAGTGAGAGAGCGCTCACACGCGACGCTTTCTTTCTGGCGCTACAAGATGCTCCAGGCTCATCTTGTGTAATTTCCTGCCCAGTCCTAGAACCAGCCATTTATCCAAGGATCCCTGGTTCCTTTTATTGGAGAAGGGTATTAAAAACTAAGATGTGGGCATTAGGCATGCTCAAACCTGAATTTTTAACAGGCTCTCTCCGGCTATGTTTTCATGAAACCACAGTTGGAGAACCTCCGCTCTCCGTTTTGTTCCCCGTCTCTCAAGTATTTCACTGGCTTTCCCAAGCCAGTTTCAGCCTCCGCCGGCAGAGGGCGCCAGAAAAGGCAGAACGGTTTCCTTCCTACCACAGAGGCCTTCTCAAGAGAAGGACGCGCGACCAGGAGCCGGGGCGGGGACTAAACGCTGCGCCAGAGAGCTGTCAAACCCAGGCGGGGCGTGTTTCCCGGCAGGGGCCGGGCACTGTCACGTGAGGGCCAGCGGTCAGCTGACTAGATCCCAAGTTCTCCGCAGAGGTACGACGCGACCCAGGGCTGCTGCTGATTGGTGGAGGCGGATCCAGAAAAGTAGCACTTCGGGGCGGGACCTTGACGGTGGGGACTACCATTGGCTTATGCAGAGTCACGTGGGCAGTCGTACGCTGCACTAGGAAGAGAGAGGGGCGCCCTATGCGGACGTGTGCGCATGCGTCAAAGCCCGGGGTCGCCGATTGGAGGCCGTGAGTCACGGGGCGGCGTGCATTGGCCGGGGGGGCGGGGCCGGCGGGGCGCGCGCCGAGCTGCGAGGCCGCTGGTTGGCCAGCGCGAGCCACGTGGTGCGGGGCAGCTGGGGGTGCGCGGCGGTGCGACGTCAACGCAGCCCTGTGAGCTCCCCCGACTCGTCTCTGCGACCCGGCGACGGCGGAGTCCTCGGAGGGCCGTGCCCGGGCGGGTTGCTGAGCACTCCTGCGGCCGCCATGGACAACTCCGGGAAGGAGGCGGAGGCGATGGCGCTGCTGGCCGAGGCGGAGCGCAAAGTGAAGAACTCGCAGTCCTTCTTCTCGGGCCTCTTCGGGTGAGAGCCGCGCGGAGGGGCGGCCGGGAGCGAGGCTGAGTGGACGAAGGAGTCGTGGCCTAAGGCGGCCGGGTCGGGACGAGGGGATGCCGGGGCCTGGTGACAGGGTCTAAGGCCGCGGAGGGGACGCAGGCTGAGGGCCGGGCTGTGGCGACACGGTGTGAGGAGAGACGGTCTGGGATGGCGGAAGGGCCTTGGGCTGAGGACACCCGGGCCGAGGCGACACCATCTTGGGACGGAGAGGGGACCCAGGCTGAAGACGGGCCAAGGGGCCAGAGGACTGTGAGGCTTGGGCGGGGACCCGGCCTGAGGGCTTGAGGGAGCCTGGGGGAGCAGCCGGGTCGCCTTTGGAGCTCTGGGAGAGCCTGTCTGAAGGGTCCCAAACGGCCGTGGTGGGGCCGGGGACTGGGGACACCTGCCCCAGGGATCGGCCTTCCCAAGGCCTGGGGCGGGGGGTTTGGGTGAACTCGGGGTGGTGGGGTGAGGGGATCCTGGGGGGTGGGAGGTGCCCGGGACGAGTGGGGCCCTGGGTGGTGGTGATGGTGTAAGAGGACCTGACAGTCGTGTGAGAGCTGAGCAGAAGAATGAATCCCCGGGGTGACAGAGTTAACACCGAGTAGGCCCGGGCTACGGGGCTGGAGACTGATGTGGAGTGGGGGGATGAGTGAAGCCGGCTTGGTTTAGGAAATGGAGGGAGAAAGGGGAGGGATGAGGGAGAGGGAAAGCCAAAGGAGTGGAAGGCTTTCTGTGTAAGGATGGAGTAGGGATGGGGCGTGTGCGCGGGATGACTGGCGTGCTGAGAGGGGGGCCCGAGCGGGGCTGGGAGACAGAACGAGCGCCTGCAGTCTGGTAGACATTTCACATCAGACTCACATTAGCCTGTAAAACTAGTTCTGATGACCGTCCTCGGAGGAATTTTAGTGGCTTAGGAGTGTCAGAAGCCTGGGTTTGAAGTGTGGCTCTGTCACTGACTTCATGCCCTTGGGTAAGTTGTTTGATTTCCCTGTTAAAGGGGATCACTAGTAAAACCTATGTCAGGTATTTGCTGCTAGTATTGAGTAAGAGTGCGCACAAAGCGCTTAGAACTGAGTCTGGCACATGGTTAACGCCCTGAGAGTCTTAGCTGTCATCAGCGTCGCTTCCAGGAAGGCAGCAGGTGTGGAGCCTGTACGCTTCTGTTGGGGATCAGGGTGGGAGCCCAGGGGGACGTCTGAGAGGGGTCAGAGGAGGGAGAGACTGAGTGCGAGGAGGAAGGGGGAGCTGACAGGTTGTGGGAAAGGGACTCTGGGCCATGGGGACTTAGCAGAGTTGGGGGAAGGGGCTTGAGGCTCGGGGCGGAGGGAGAAGAGGGGAGGAAGGGAGGACTGGAGAGGGTTGTGTTGCTTTGGGGCTGGGAGGAGAACTGGAGAGGGACTGGTGGGTCTGTAGAGAGTTAGGAAGAACTGTGGTGGAGGTGGGCAGGGAGTCTGGCGACAGAGAGAGGCAGAGACTGGGGAAGGCTGCGGCCTGGGAGAATCTGCCAGAAGGCTAGGGAAGGGGTCTGGGAGGAGGGCCTGAGGACACGGAGAGACAGTGTTAGGAGATTGGTGAGAAATGAAGAGGAGAGGAGACGGAGCAGCCTGTTATTTGATGTTGGATGATGTTTAGCAAAAGAACTTGAATAACAAGGCTGAGAGTTATCTGGTCTGGAGAGGCATCCGGGGCTCATGGATTGTATTGATTAGGTGGGGAGTGTTTTATTTTAGAGGCTGAGAGTGGAGAGAGGGTATGTGTGTGTTTCCTCTTCCCTCACAAGGAGAGAAGTTCAAGTGCAGTGTTTTGGGGTGGGGCCGAGAGCTCAGTTTTCCGTGATAGTTTCCCTGGGTGGTTTTTGGTGTCGGGTCCCTTTGGACTGGGGATTAGTGTCCTGTTGGTCAGTGGCTGGAGGGAGCAGCTAAGTCAGCCCGCGAGACACATGCCATCTGGTTGGGAAGGCGAGAGTAACACTTGCCAAACGCTAGTAAAGCAAAATTGTAAGGTAACTAAGGCTTATATTATATCATGTGTGTGAAGTTCCTGAGTTGAGAGGAAGCGGCCTGAACTGGAGGAAGGCTCTTAGGAGCGAGCTGGGCCCCGAGGAACCCTAAAACTAGCAAGTCCTAGTCCTGTGGAGTGAGGGCGTGGGAGAGAGTGCTCGGCAGCGGGAATTGTGCGAACAGAGGTGTAGCGTGAGGGGAGGTTCTACCCTGAATGATGGGGAACCGAGATCCAGATGGACCAGGGATGGCTCCCCAGAGGAGAGGCCTCCATCTGGGAGCATGAACAGGGGTTCTGGGGGTGCCCTCTGGTGGGGAGCGCTTCTCTGGGCAGAAGGGCCAGCTTGAGCAAGGCCCAGATGCATGAAGCTCAGTGTGTGCACGCTTCACATGGGGAGTTCCGTGTCAGCACGTAGTTAGAACAGGCAGAAGGAGGAGGTGACGCTGAACAGGGATGAGGCCCAGTCTCGAGAAAGGGCTTGCATGTGAGGAGGTGGTAGAGAGCATTGAGGATATTAATGGGGATCTGTCTTAGTCTGTTCAGGCAGCTATAACAAAATACCGTAGACTGGGTGGCTTATAAACAACAGAAGTTTATTTGTCACAGTTTTGGAGGCTGGGACGTGCAAGATCATGCTGCTGGGTAGATTTGGTGTCTGGTGAGAGCCCACTTCCTCATAGATAGCTGGCTTTTCACTGTGTCCTTGCTTTGTGGAAGAGGTGAACTAGCTCTCTGGGGTCTCTTTTCGTAAAGGCATGAATCCCGATGATGAAGGTTCTGTCCTCGTGATCTAATCACCTCCCAAAGGCCCCACCTCCTAATACCATCACATTGACGGTTAGGATTTCAACACATGAATTTTGGGGAGACATAAGCATTTCGTCCAGTCCTGGAGGGTTCATGTTTGCCTCTTAGAAGGACTACAGCAGCTGGTGTGGGGAAGAGGTTGGGTGGGGAGAGTGAAGGCAGTGACAGTAATAATAGCAGATGATGTTTATTAAGTGCTTTTCTGAGCCAGCCTGGTGGTCTGGTGGTTAAGATTCAGCTCTCTTACTGCTGTGGCCCAAGTTCGTCTCCCCATCAGGGAACCACACCACCCATCTGTCTGAGGGTTGTCATTCTGTGGCGGCTGCGTGTTGCCGTGATGCTGAATGCTATGCCACCAGTATTTCAAATACCAGCAGGGTCAGCCATGGTGGACAGGTTTCAGCGGAGCTTCCAGACTAGACAGACTAGGAAGAAGGATCTGGCCACACACTTCCAGAAAAATTGGCCCTGAGAACCCTCTGAATAGCAGTGGAGCACTGTCTGATGGAGCGCCGGAAGGGAAGAGGATGGCGCAGGAAGACTGGGCAGGGTTCTGCTCTGTCATCCACAGGGGCGCTAGGAGTCGGAATCCACTCGACAGCTCTAACAACAACACCTGAGTCAGGCCTGGGCCAGACCCTTTACCCGCATGCTCACATTTAATCCTCACAGCATCCCCGTGGAGGTGGACAGATGGGGGTTTAGAGAAGTTGGTGTGTTTGTCCAGTCCCCCAGTAAGTGGGAGATCGGTGTCCAGAGCCAGGCCTGTCTGATCCCAAGGCCGTCTCGCTGCCACACTAGTTTCTCCTTGAGGCCTGGGCCCCTTTCTGGGCACTTCATTTAGGAAGCATGTTGGCAGACTGGGTGTCTTAGGGCACTTCCTCCCTCTGGTTCCCCCTTCCTCCTCGCCCACATGGCAGTTTTCTCCAGACATTTGAAAGCAAGAGCAGGTGTGTTTATTCCAGTCCCTTCCAGCTCCAAGAGCAGCTGAGATGGTGCTGAGAGGGGAGTGAGCAAGGCCAGAGCAGAGGGCAGGGGCACGGGTGGGAGAGCGGCCTGACGGGAGCCTGTCTGTGTGAAAGCTGGGAGAACATGGAGAGGTCGGCGCACCGCGAGGACATGGGCGGGAACCGCCCCCGGCGCGTCCTCCCCTCGGGAGCCGCCGTGTTCAGCGTTTCACAGCCCACCGTTTCTCGAGGCCGTCCTGGCTTCTGAGGACTGGAGAATGGAGCGTTGTGGCTCGGCCTGTTCCTCGAGCGTCTCCTTCCCTTTTAGGAACCTCAGCGATGACAGTGTCCCAGATTGACAGGTCTCTGCTCATGTCCAAAGGGCCAAAGCCCCCAGTGGGATCTGGGGCAGCCCCTATCCTTGGATGTGGGGGCCTTTGCTGTTCCCTCTTTCTGGGCTGCCAGACGCTAGGGGGCTTTGGTGCGCCAGCAGCCTGTGAGGGAGGCGGCGCCAGGCGGTTACTGGATCTGCGCTCCTTCTGCACCCCCCCCCCCCGCCCCCGCTCCCCAGCCAGTGCTCAGGCACCTGAGGAGGGGCTGCGGGGCGATGGGCAGCACTGGAAACTTCTGCTCTGGAAGCAAAAACATAGAGACTTCCTGAGTAAAGCACAGTGAAATTGGGCAAAAGGAGATGAGGGGGGTGAGGGGCACTTTTTCTTCCTTCCTGCTCCGAGTCTCCTGATGGATCCAGACTTCCCTGCGGTGCCCCTTTGGGATGGTACAGATTCAGAACAGCCCCCTGGGGCTTTTCCTCGTCCCTGACGTCTCACCCTTACCCCCTCCCCTGAATCCAAAATAAAAACTTCTTTCCACTTGGATACCACCGTGTATAGGAAGTTTCTTCATCTGTGAAATGAAAATCATAGTAATCCCTACCTCCTGGGGTTGTTCTAAGGAGTAAATAAGATTGTGCTTGTGAAGTGGTGAGCACAGTGCCTGACCCTGGTAAGTGCTTATTAAGTGCTTACTATTATTATTATTACTAGGTGTTGTTACTGGAAGTTGAGCTGAAGGCTCTGGAGAAATAGAGATGCCAGGGTGTTCTGTATACGAACAGCACGGTCCTAGAGATCAAATGTTGACAGATCAGTTCCTGTTTGAACCACCTGTAGGGGCCTGTAGCCCCAGGAGCCTGGAGGCTGGCTTTCCTGCAGGGAGAATTGGTGCCAA